TGGAAATATTACATCTAATAGAAGAAGAAGTATCTGACTCTAATAAAAATCTAACAACTTGTATGCTTTCATCAATCGGAATATTTGTATACAGAGAAACAACGTCAAAGCTAACCATTGTTTCATCATCTTCAATCGTTGTTTGTAATAATTTATGTTTGAAGTCTAATGAATTTTTAATGATACTTATCAAATTGTCTTGTAATGGTTTAAGGATTTTTGTGAGGTACTTTGAAAGGTTATATGTTGGGGAATTCGTAAAATCCATAATTGGACGAGTCGGAAAATTGGGTTTGTGAATTTTGGGAAGGCCATAGAAGCGTGAACCAGCATAACTTTTTGGTGCTAAATTAAACCACAAGGAATTCCCTAATTTCAGTTGTATAGCAGTTTGTTAATCTGCAGTTTTACCTTGCTAAGTGTAGGCTTACGCTTCTTGTTTTCTATCATCTCATACAGTCCACTAGATAGGTGCTCTGTAACCTTTTGTTCACAGTCTGATGTATTCATGACAACGGTTATGTTTCCTTTGTCAGCTTTCATAATCCGTATCTTCTTATCATTTTGTAAAGAGCGAAGAGAACGTTCCTCTTTTATCGATATGTTCATATGTGACAGTTTTTGATTAATTTGAACATGTGAGACTTTATATCTAACTTCTTCTGCGATATCCTGCTGGATTAGTTTTAGTGCCAGTTCTAATGACGGTGCGACTTCGAGTATGGTCATTGGTGGGCGATTTAAATTAAAGTTTAATCCTTTGGATAATGGTGAATTTTCCTCATTTGTGAGAACGCGATCGGATACATTACATACTACTTTGAGATTAGATGATTTGTTTTGTTGCATAATACTTAATTTGTTAGGGTTTGGACTTAGAGCATTGAATTTCCTTATCTGCCTTAATTTGGCTTTTTTTCATATAATAATCCTATCTTCCTTTCATGAAGTCAAATAATACATCATGTAAGTTTTCCGGAACAAGAAATCTTATGCCATCATCGAGGTTTTTTATACGATTCCGATACGATTCAAGCATTACTATGCTTTCATGTATTCTTTCCCGCAAAAGTGTTTTTGTGGTGGATTTTGCTGCGATAAGTGAATGATGAGATTTCAAAGCGAATTTAAATGTCAAGGATTTGGGAATTACGTCAGAATTTAGACTGCGGACGTTGAAAATGCGATGGTTGTACCAATTTGAATATAACTTTGAAAACTTAATGCGATTAGAAATAAGTTTGAAGGTATCTGCTATCGCGGCTCATGCCCTATATTCAGGTCATAAAATATCATTCGAACAGACAAAAATTCTTCACTGGATTAATGAATGGAAAATCTTAAATAGTTTTCATGGATAAATAGACCAAGTAGCCAGAAATCATGTCAGTAGAATAGTTAACCATTACAAAAGCATTGGATGCCCTTTCAGCTGTATTCTCGTCCAACGGTTTACTTGAACCCCTCAACTCTGAAAAAGGACCTTAGTTCAAGTCCCATCAATTCCAACAATACTGTCTTACCAACGGAATCAACTAGGTTCACTCGTCATCTTACCATCCACAATCTAAAGGATAGATTGAACGCTTTGCAGATACGTTTAAAAAGGCTTCACTCAGAGTAGGAAGAGAAGGGACGGAGATGATTAACATTTACCATTTTCTATCTGTATACATATCACCGCCTGGACGATAGACTCGAGTCGAGGCACTTATGAAGCGTAAATTGAGAACGCTTCACGATATCGTGGCCCCAAAGCACCTTCCTAAAGACTACCAGTGAATACTAGAAATAATTTCAAGGCAGAAACACCAGTATTCGCTCTTGACTATGGATCAGAATACAACAAATGGATAACCGAAACGATAATCTGTAAGCATGAAGTAATATACGACGTGGTTGTTAAACGCAACAGATGGGCGTGACACTGGAATCAACTACGTTGAACAGAAGAGCCTGAAAAAGAGGAAACCTCAAACAGACTTCCTCTGGAAGTTCTACTGGACACTTCCCAGTTACCTAGTAAGAACAAAGATGATGACAAGCGGTTTCAGAAAAAGTCACGTAAGGATTAAAAGAACTGCTCCCAAGAAGATGGTCAGACAAATGAGAAGGAAAGACAGTACTTTTTCAAGTAAAACATTAGAATTTCTTATGGAAAATATGCTGAGATAATGCATTATCTGAAATGGACGTTTTATGCTTGATTATTATAAATTTTTCTTATGGAAAATTCGAGTTTTTTCACGCCCTTTTTCACTTCATGCGTATTGCTTATAAGAACCCTGTCTTCCTATTGGTTAATCTCTCAATTTAAGGTCCTGTCTATTTTGTCTATTCATCTCAAGGCTGCATGTGTTGTATGTAAATGCAAGAGTTATGTCCTTAATTTATATCTTCATAATTCGACTGGAGAAAACTCGTTTCAGTCCGATATCGTCTGTTTATTGTATCAGTTGAGTCAGTTGTCGAGTATTGTATCGTTTGTCTAGTAACTAGATTACACGTCTCCAAATTACCGTGTCCGATATATTGTGATAGAATGATTTCTCAAATGTACTTATAACCCTGACTTTTCTGATTTATGCGTGACCTATTCTGTCAAGTGGATTTAGTCACGCTGAACTCATCACTGAGTGTCATATTAGCGAACGTTTTCCTATTGAATGTGAAGAATGGGTTGATTGAACGGTGTATTAGAAAATTTACATTTAACTATCAATACGTGGATTATACCTTCATCCTGGGTTAAAACAACATGGATAGATCAAACTTACTCAATAGATTCAAGGCAGTACACCCAGCGATGAAGTTTCCATGTGAGGAATACTCAGAAGATAGGGTAGCTTTTCTTGATATTCTTCTCTCAAGACGAACAGATGGGTCGATAAAGAGGAATTTTCTTAAGGAAACGTACATGGACGGGGCATAACATACATTTTCTCAGCTTCGTTCCGCTTTAGTACAAATCAAATTTAATAAAAACCCTAGGTTACAGAATAAAGGCTATATGTTCGCAGGACACCAATGAGGAGGAACTGATGACCTTGTGCAACACACTAATCCGAAAGGGCTATCTTCATAAATTCATAAAGAAAATAGTGATGATAAAAATATGAAGAAAGGATATTCTAACGACTAGCAGGAAACCACTACACATACGGGTACAATTTAGAGGTGACGTGCTCAGCGAGATATTAATTCATGAACTGCGCAGACCATTTCAGAGAACTTTTACTGCTGCTGAATTACGAATTTCGTTGTCCACTACACCCAATGGTGACACCGAAACTGAAATCTGAATTGTTTGGACCAGCCACTTCCTATTGTGCTTGTCATTTCGAATGCTGCTATGGAACAAGTTATGTCGACCTCTGCTTTATCAGTTGAATCTTTCGTGCTCGCTAACAGCTTGGTTAAGTAAAGGTGTGGTAATGACCATTACCAACTCTATATTAGGACACTCGGTTGAAACGAACCATATGGTAGATATGCATAAGTTGTTTTCCATCCTGTAACAGGTTCCTGTAAACTCACCTAAAGGAACCGGCTTTGAATCCTTCAGCCTGGAAAAGCAGTAGTAATCATGATCAAACAACCTAAGTTAAATGTTTTAAAAAAGTATGTTTTCCTGCTACAGCTATGGTGAACCGATTCACTTCGCTCAAATTCCTTAGCATGGTATCTCTAGTAATGTGATTTTCTAATTTTATTTGCATATATCCCTTCATCCCTATAATCTAGAATAATTTTAACAAACTCTCTAATTTACTTTATCCCTCAGCAACAGTAACGTTCTGTCAAGCTGCTGTTCATGAAATTATCTTTTTTAGTCTAATTAACCCAACTCTCACAAACACCTTTCTATTGTTTATTAAAGTATCACTTCATATCATTACATAATCGGTATATTTGTTTGGACAATCAACTATTTTGAGTTGAATTTCATTATTAACTGTTTCTATCATTAACGTTCTTACTGGACTTTTCTGATTTGAATACTCCAACTGTATAATATTACTAGCAAACTGACAAGCGAAATCGCAATATTGTTAACTTCTAATTCTCTAGTATGTACATATAACTGTAGAACATGAAGAAAGAGTTATCGAAAAAAATATTCTTTGGTCACTCAAATAACTTTTCGTATGCGAGAATCTTTACAGTGTTACTGTTCCCGGTGGACGTCACTGTAGAACCCTCTCATCCAAGCACAAAAGTGTTAACCGCTGTACTACTGCCTCACGACGCTAACTGGAAAACCGATAGTAGATGCAATCAAAGTCAGCTACTGAAGATAAGCATTCATCTTGGATTCGGTCACTATTTTTTGGTGAATTTTGTAATATTTAAGGACTAATTTAGACATATTATAACAACCTAGATTCATAGCTGATGTTATCCCAGCAGTTGGCTAGTATGTTGTTACTTGTATTACGCCGTAGTTGTTTGAACCGAACTGACCAGTCTCTATCGGTATATGGATTCCTGAGCGGATGCCTCGATATTGCCCGTATTTCAAATTTATACTAGTAACGGAAATCAGCTAGCAGTAGAATCGAAAACGTGCGTTTTGCACCATTCGGAACTAGTTAGCTGGATGTGCCTACCTGTCAGTGAACGATGCTGTTCCCATTAGAACTTAAACCACTGACAGACTGCTTCAAACTCCTAAGTGCTAACGACCAACTAGGCCGTCGATTCATGGTAGCCACTAATTATGTAATGGATATAATTTTTATGTTGTTACTTATATTATTCCATCGATGGTGAGATCAAATTGAGAGGCAGGTACATTCAGCTTACAGGTCCACAACAGGATAAAACGTGCGTCCTGAAAACTATAGGTAGCCACTATCTATCATTAGATAGTTAGCATACCAGCAGGTTTACAAGGGAAAAGGCTACTTCATATCCTTTTTGCAGACTGTTATCCTTTCATTTTCTATTGTGAAACGCAATTACAGTGAGTATATCATAGAGAAAGTGAAAAGATGTACGTCTGTCACTAGGGTATTATTACCATTAATAAACTCTATTGTCTAATTAATCAACAGTGTTTTAAATATTCATATGCAGAGAATTAGAGTTATTGTTGGTTAACAGAAGCGTTTGCAATCATTGAAATCGTTTCCCGTACGAAATCTTTATCGTCACATGTGACAAATCTTTTTTCCACACATTCAATGTATCGTTCTTTACATATTGGATATTCTAAGCATTTCCACACGTTGTCTTTCGGACTAATATTTTCTTGACAAAGAAGGATAAAAATTCAAAAAAAGCAGTTGAAACACAGGGTGAACTAAGAAAAGCTTGTCCTTGTTGAATTAAAGTTTCATCTTCATACGACTCTATTCAAGAATCGAACCTTCACTGGTTAAATAGTTCACTAGTTGCTAGCCGGTTTCAAGCCAGGGTAAACAGCTAAGGTTGGACATAGGTCTAAAAGCCCTATCCCGAAAAAACCAATCTAATCTCTAAAGAAACATCAAGGCACAAAGAAAATATAAAAGATAAAAACAGACTTATTCTTCGCTGTAATCGGAGAGAAGAAATGATACCGGTTGGTGAAAGCCCTAAGGAAGCCAATGGGCAGATGCGTCATCTCACATTTCATGAATGCAAAAGTAAGCATAGAGACATGGAATGTCCACACAATGTTTGAAGCTGGCTGACAAGGCTGCCCAGATGGCAAAAGAAATCAGAAGATATGGTATAAAAGTGCTTGACTGGGAATCTGAGAAGGCAGATGGAAAGGAGGTGGACCCTCCAAACTGTTAACTCGATAGTCAATTATCTAATCAGATACTCTCACCCAAACCATAACCATGAGCACACTGACGTTCGGAGTGGCCACCATGATATCCCCAACAACATCGAAGGCTCTCTCCCATACGGTGGGAACCAATCGCCTCAACGATCAGGATCATGACAGCAAGATGCATTCACTTCAAAAGCAATGAAAGTCACAATCGTACAATACTACGCCATGCACTTACAAATAATGCAGATGAAGAGAGGAAGGAGGAATCCTACAGACAAATGCAATCAGTACTGAACAAGACACCACACCAGCAGGCAACATCAAAATTCATTTTAATGTGAGGAAGAGAACTGATCGTGGGTCGAGAGGCACTCGGTGAAATGATGAATGAGAATGGAGAACTGTTTGCAGACTTCTGCTCATTTAACGATTTGGTGATTGGAGGTGAGGTGAGGTGAGGTGAGGTGAGGTGAGGTGAGGCGAGACGAGGCGAGGCAGTGTGTACAAACACGAGGATATTCACAAGGCAGTGACATGGATTTCAGCAGACGCTAGATGTTCACACTAAATATCAGATCGACTTCATCGCAATGTGAGGAATGAGGAGATGGAGATTCAGTCTAGTGGACACAAGATGAGGAAGAGGAGTAGATGTAGGTTCACACCACTCACTATCCAGTGCAAGGAAACTGCCTTCAAAATCATGTTGAAAGCCTTCATAGAAGTTGGTGCTGATAAACCACAGTTGAAGTTGAACACCCAGAACACAAACTGAACTGAATGACATCTTCACGTCGGTCAGTCAGTCAGTCAGTCAGTCAGTCAATCATGAGGAAATAATGGGAGACATTTAACAAGATACCCGAAGAAACCTGTGTGGAAGAACACTGGAACTCATTGAAAAAGATGTGTCAGAAAACCTGGATAACCGTGTTAGGAATGAAGAAGAGACGGGAGGAGGAATGGAATGGAGTGGAATGGATCTCGACGGACACATGGAAGCTGATAGAGGAGGGAGAGGAAGATGAAGATGAAGATGGTGAATCAGAAGATGGAATAGAGGAATTCAATGCATTGCAAGGATGAACAACGAAAAGAGGAACTGAACACAACCTGTAAAACACCACACTGGACAAAGAAGTGAAGAGGAGTGCGCGCAAAGACAAAAGACACTTCTATGACACACTTCGAATTGAAGCAAAACAGGCTGCTGGTAAGAGAAACATAGACCTGACAAGATTATATGAAATAACCAGGTCACCATACGGTAGGGGAGGGATCAACGCAGACGAAACCAATGAAAGAGAGTGGAGGAAAGTTAGTTACCACCAAAGAGGAGGAGCAGAGGAAATGATGGACTGACCACTTCAAGAAACTCTTGAATCGACCACCACCAACACCACCTGCAACGCGTCGAGAAATACCACCGGTAGACCAGTTACAGAACTATCAGTGAACACAAGACCTCCGACAAAAGCAGAAATGAAGTCCTGAAAGCCATGAAGTTGATGAAATACGGGAAACCAGCAGGACCGGATGTAATCCTTCCATTGAAAACAGACTCAGAGACATCAGCAGACGCGCTCACATGACTATTGCAGAATGTTTGGAAGGACAGAAGGAAGTAGGGAATGAAGGAAGGAAGGAAGGAAAGGTACCTGCCGGCCGATTGGAAGAAGCACTATCTTGTCAAACTTCCAAATAAGGTTGACCTGAGTGTTTGCAAGAAGTGGCGCGCAATCATATTGATTTCGCATATGTCTTAGGAGGCCTGACAAAACGGGACTGAGAAACATTTTTGGTCTCTTAACCGCCTGAGGATCCTTGCATTTCTTCAAATGACAAAAAATCCCCATTTATTCACTCAGAAACAAAAAGGAGGTTACAACGAGGATAACTGTCTTTTCCTCGACTCATTTTCACAGTTGTATACCTGTAAATGTATATATATATATATATATATATATATATATATATATATATATATATATATATATACATGAAATGAAGTATATTTTATGTCTTTACTCCCTACATGCAATGTACTTATCTGTTGAATTTGACCTTTCATTGGAAACGTGTTTGGAACATTCTGTAATTTTCGCTGTATATTTACCAATGTACAAATGTGAAAATGAGTTGTTGAAAAGATAATTACCTTTTGCTGGTAACTTCCTTTTGTTTGTTTGCTAATGAACAAATGGAGATTTTTCGTCATTTTAAGAATTCCATAGTAGATTAAGTTATTTGAAATGAAAAATATGTATAGTATTATTTATTAGTATATAGTAAATACTATATCACTATGTGTGATGAAAAATATTCCAATCTAATATGGTATGAACTTGTAATCGGTGCTCAGGTTTTATCCTTACATTAAGGACTACTGGATAGTTAGTTGTATGAACTGTTGAAAAAATGTTTGACTGATAACTCTGTCTGTAATAAACTGAAAACAAGACAATCACTTCTAAGTATTTCTGCAGCTTGCCAAGAGTAGATAAACTTAATGTCTCAGTGTGACAAATATTTCCTATGTTAAACAGGCCGACTCATTGGTTAACAGTTGATGCAGATTGCCGGAAAGTTGTCTTTGCATTTCCTTGTAAATTAAAAGGTTTAAACAGTTGTGATAAACTGATGTATCTCCTTTACTTAAACGTATCTTCTTGGAAGAAACAGCAAAAATTGTATATCAGCATTATGATATACTTTTGTGACTCGAGGAATGAACTGAACACATTTTACGTATTACGTACACTGAGAATGTAGAATTTAAAGTCAAAACTACTTTGCGTGTCATAGAGAAGAGATAATTCAGTGAAGAAAATTTTCTTTCTTAGACAATATCATTTTCTAAAGCTGTACAATCGTATTCATGTATATATCATAAACATATAACAGTCTATTATAAAACAATAGGGTATAATAGCTACATCATTAACCTAGTGCTAAAAAACCGGAATCAAGAATGCAAAGTAGTTGAGTAATAATCTAGGACAGTGGAAATAACGAGGAAGGCAAGGAGTTTGACGAGGTGAAAATTGTTGCGAATATTGAGTGTCTACTTGAGAGATAGATGTAAAGAAGGTGATGATGATGAAATAGAAAAATGTGAAAGTGCAAAGACCATGGTAAGATAGAAGATCGAACATACTTCTTTTGCACACAGAGACCAGGTTTGAATTAATGAATTGCCACTGCCTCCGCTGTGCACAACTGTCGGAGGTGTATTCCCTTCGAAATTCTCCATTTCAATCGATAAATGACACTGAAGGAGGATTCTGGTTGAGCTTTATGTCCAGAGTTGACCAAATGTTCAATAATTGAACTGTTAATTGATTTACATTCACCCCTTGACAATCACGCAGGATAATGCTGAGAGACACGTTTGGAAAGTGTGCGCTTTGTGCGGCCTAAACAACTAGATACACAGGAGCAAGTAAATTTGTAGACACACATTGAGGTGGCCCAAAGCGGCAACTTGTCCTTAACACACCCCATAATTAGTTGTTGACTAGAGAAGCTGATCTGCAGCTTCACAGAGAACAATGTCTTCTTCAGTGATGTGGACAGCCGATTCTTCAGGATTTTTGCTACAGTATTACCTTTGAAACCAACGTTCATAAACAAGGTCTTCTATGGAACTGTGAGTACTTACTTACTCCGTACTCTGCTTCAATTTCAAGTTCTCATCAATAAATATACATTTTGCATGAGGATCTTCTGTAGTTTGTCCAATTCATCGTTGATAGTATCAGTCGTGCAGATTCTTCTGATTCTTGAAGATAAAGAATGGATTAGATTCATCTTTCTGTTAAGAGGTATCCAGCTATGAAATTCAAATATTGTCTATTCCATGTAGTCTTTCTATAAATTGATTTCTGAAGAGTACCATCTGGTCTCCGTTTCAATAAGACAAAGAGAAAATGGAATTCTGAGTTCTGTTCAAATTCTGATGTGAAGTTGATTGATGGGTGACAATCACTGAACTTTTTAACTACAGTCCCAATATCTGTATTTTGATCGCGTATGATGAATGTGTCATCCATATATCGTCGAAAAAGAAAATTTGCTTCGCTGAATTATCTCTTGTCTACTTTGAGTGTATCACTAAATACATGGAGTTGGAATAAGGGGTCACATTATTGCTTAACTGCTTAGTCTTATAAGTGTACAACACGATCTGTCTGGTAGACTGCACCTCGATTTAAGATTTTCTCATTTGATATAACTCACATTGATACCAAATTATTTAATTACTGAATGAAGTTCCAACTTCAATCTATCCCTTACTCACAATCATATCAAGTGACCACATAATTCTCCACATATGACTTCCATCCTTCTATCACCTCGTATTATTTATTTACAGTTGTACAGAAAATAGTCCGAATCTCCGGAAAACATGTTGTATCATTCCTACCATTTATGTTTAGTGATGATTAGATGCACAAGTATTGGATAATAAGTCTATACACACCCA